ATGATTATTTCATGAGAACATACTTCCAGACTTGAGTCATCCTATCACTGAAACTCCCTTCCCATGGTATCCTTTCTTTTCTTCTGTCTCCAGATCCTTCCTCCAGGAAATTTCAGAGAGCTTTTCTTCTAATACTTCTATGTCCTTGGTGCTCCTTCAAAATCTCTTTTCGGGGCTCCCCAGAAAGTCTTCTGTCCTGAGCATCACCCCCTCCTCATTTGTTTTCAGTGAGATGAGCACAGGACCCTGGTCACTGCACCGACTGTGGTGTCATTGAGGCGTGGGGAAACTTGAGGGGCGAGAAGGATGGATTGGAGAGTATTCTTTGTGGGTAGAGGTGAGGGCATGATTAAGTGAGAGGGCCTTGGTACATACTCCTGGGCAACAGTGAACGCAGGAGAATTTTTACAGCGTGCATCAGAAACAAAATGCTGAATTTAAAATGCAAGTCTTATTTTCCTCCTGCTTCTGTCTACCCTAGTTCACATTTGAAATATTATTGGCTGAGAACTGGAGCAAAATATAAGTGCTTATTCATAAACAACACATTGAAGGTAAATGTCTGTGCCTCCTGTGTGGTTTTCTGAATGTCTAAAAACATTCTCTCATATGTATCCATGCAGTCTCAATGTTGCCCTGGCTGGTGTTCTCAGTGGTTAGAGCATCAGCCCCTGCACCAAAGGGTTGTGGGTTTGATTCCCTGTCAAGGCCACATACCTGGGTTGCAAGTTTGATCCTCCGCGCCCCAGTTGGGGTACATGTGGGAAATGACCAATTGATGAGTCTCACATCAATGTTTCTCCCTTTCTCACTTCCTCCCCTTCCACTCCCTCTAAAAATCAGTGGAAAAAATATCCTTGGGTAAGAATTAACAATAAATAAATGAATAAATAAATAAATGTTGCCTTTGTGTTAAGCCAGAGCTTCTCAGTGTTCACCTAAGTGCCCTTTACTAGTGAAGAGAGGAAATGCAGGCAAGGAATGTGAGATCAAACCATGGAGAAACTGGCTACAAATCTGTGCTTCCTACAGACAAGGTTGTATTGGATGGCATAATGTATCTAGGTTTATTGTATAATAAAAAAAATGTCTTAAAATGTCCTACCCTCATAGTCTAAAAATGTTAGAAGAACGGTGTACAACATGTAAATGTAAATAGTGATGTGTAGCCCTAATGAAACCGTGTGACATGGGGTTCAGATCCAGAGTCACGTCACACTTAACACAATACAGTTTAAAATCACAGGCATATACAAACAAACAAACAAACAAAAAAGGAACTCTGTTCTTTACCTGTATTTTCAGAGGGATATTAAAAGGAATCCAGTGCGTATCTCCACCTGGACATATTTGTCATATTTTCTTTCTTCCCTCCACTTATCACTGTCTCCAAAGCACCATCTGACACCACACTGTTCCTTCTCTGTCTGCATCTCACACAGCTTTTACTCTCTTTTTCACTGAGCTCCATCTTTCTCAACTCTTGACTGTGTGGATCTACTTAACCCTTCTAGCAAAGAACATCTCAACATCCCTCCTTTCTGCCCAGTCCCTGTTCCTAAACAGGCAGAGACAAAATGAGGTTGAGGGTAAGGGTGGCGAAGGGGAAAATAGACTAGCAATGACAGCATTCTCATGGGTGGGCAGAGGGAGAGGGATATCGCTAAAGATACCCATGTTGATAATGTATATCCTAGCATATGGATACAAAAACAGAAATATTTTATTCCATACTCTGTATTGATTGCAGGTAAGGGTGTCATTTTGTTTGCATATTGCTGGATATTTGGGAGATGCTTAAATATTGTACCTACAACTAATCATCATTCTTACCTTTCTGTTTATAAATCTGTCCCATGAGTGTATTAATAGGGCTAAGACATAATAATTTAACCCACAAATGCGCTTTGGAATCTAAGTGTGATATTTAAAGAACTGAATTTTTGGAGCCCAGGAGAAATTTGAAATGCCAATTCTATTTTTCTGATTACACATTTTTAGTGGAAAATCAGGACATAACAGACAAATCTTTTTCCTCATGTCACCATCATTGTGTGAGCCCGTGCACCTCCATGACAAATATTGGTTGGCCTCCCATCGTGTCACTTAAGGGAACTCAAGATCTTTATGCTGAACAGTGAAACTTTCACAACGGACACGATGACAATCGAGCATTGGATTTTGCTTCAGTCTTTTTAATTAAGTGTCAACCGTGAACAGATTGTATCTTATTACACAAGCAGATGGAATTATATCAGTGCTGTTTTCTTCAACCAATTCAAACATTAATTACTGTGTGTGCCTTTCCACTGGTGCCATATTATACAAAGTATCTGTGACTAGACTGAGACCACCCAACTAGACTTTCCATTAGTAATATTTGTTTCACAGGTATGTATATCAGGTACCTTCTGTACACAAGACTCTAAGGAAGGTGACAGTGGGGAGGGGCAGTCATAAAAGATACCAGGCAAAACCTAACCTTCAGAGATCTTAAAAATCTGTGGAGCTAATAAAACATTCTCACAAATCATTATACTCCTGGGTGGAAGTATATGATAAAAGTATTAGTGCCTTTGGAGAGGTTCAAAAGATGTGTTCAAAGGATCTTAAGAGAAGGATGCCTTAGAGATGGGAGGATCCAAGACAGCGTATGGAAGAGGGCCAGTTGACTTGGACATGGATGGACGAGTCCCATTTGGATGCACAGAAACTCAAAAGAAGGACATTTCAAGAGAAGGGGATCTTAACAAAAGCAGGACATGTTTAGGTGTTGGAGGGTGTTACTTGGTTGTGTTAGAGGGAAAGGAGCAACAGACCATGCAAGTGAAAAGCTATTTTGGATCTTCTTAACACAGTTGGGGAACTTGCAAGTTATTGAGAAAGAGGTAGGGGCTGGAGGGCAATGATGAACAGAGACGGGCCTCAGGACTCCAGGAGGCTGTGGGAGAAGGGGTGACAGGCGGTCCAGGCAGAGAGACCCCACAGCAGGCAGTCATGGAAGGATGGGAGTGTCCTGGGAATGGGGAGGAGCTTGTTATGCCGCAGTGGGCGGGGCTGCAAGTCAAGCCTAGAAAGGAGGGTTGCAGACAAATTCTGCAGGTAATTGCATGCCAGGTGTAGGAGTTTGGTGTTTGTCCTGCACAGACAGAGGAACCCACAGAGGATCTATGGGTTAGGTAACCTTGGGTAGGATGACACATAGGCTGGAGGGGGTCAGCAGGCTTTTTCTGTAAACGGCCAGATTGCAAATATTTTAGACTTTGTGGACCACATATGATCTCTATTACATCTTCTTTGATATGTTTTCCTTTCTTTTCTTCCTTCCTTTCTTCCTTCATTCCTTCCTCCCTCCCTCCCTTCTTCCCTTCCTCCCTTCTTTCCTTTTTTTCCTGTTACCATCATCTAATAATATAAAAACTATTCTGTGCTCCACTGGCCACACAAAAGCAAGCCTCAGGCTACCTCTGCCCTCTGGCCAGGAGAAGAGGTAAGTGGCAGGTAAATGGGACACCAGGCACCGAGCAGAGAGCAGAGGGGGGTCTAGCCCAGTGGTGATGAAATGCAATTAGTTACTCTCAGCGGTTGTTTGGCTGTTGGGTAATTAGGAAGAAAAAGACAAACAAATGCCGTGCGGTTCTGAGCCTTCTCCCTCAAGAGACACTAGGTGGTACTGGTAATTATTTATCACCAAGACTCTGGGGAGATTGGAGAGAAGATGGATTTCATTTTGAAGTTGCAGAGAGGCTGATGTATCCATGGGTCATCCAGGGAGAAGGTGCCTGGGGAGAATCGGCTCTGTAGGTCTGATGCCCAGTTTCCTCACATTCAGAAGGTGTGCCTCCAAGGTACACACGAGACTCTAGGACAGGAAAGAGCCGGTCCTTACGAGCCCTGGACGGGCGGCGGTGGATTCGGGAGGGGCTGGAGGTGAGAACAGAGCAGGAAGACCAGATGGGAAGCTCCTGCAATAATCCAGGGGTGAGGAAATAGTGTCTCAGATTGAGTAGTGGCAGCGGAACGGGAAGAGGTGACAGGTGAGAAAGGCGGTATGGGGCAGGATCGCGAGGACTTGGCACTGGGCGCGTGGCAAAGGAAAGGGGCCTTCTGCGGTCCTCGTCCTCAGACTCCAGTGCCATGGGATGACGCCACCTCTGTCTTGTTCCTTTTCCGGTTCTCCTTTGAGAAACCGAGCTAAGTGACTGAAGTACACACAGAGCACATCGTCTTGCTGTGTTTGTAGCTTTTGCAAGTAGTCCGATTTTATAGTGCAGTGGGGGACAAGCCACGCCCCACCTGCAAACTTTTACTTTCTCCATTAACAGTGGAGGGGAATGTAGGAGAAGCGGTGAACACTTGAAAGGGTTAAAAAAAGATATAAGACTTTGGAACTAGGATACATCTTAGCCAAGGGCTATAAAACTGTCTCTAAGGCCCAGGCGGTGTGGCTCAGTGGTTGAGCACTGACCCATGGAACCAAGAGGTCGCCGGTTTGATTCCCGGTCAGGGCATGTGCTCAGGTTGTGGGCCCCATCCCCAGTAGGGGGCATGCAGGAGGCAGCCAATCAATGTTTCTGTCTCTCTCTCCCTTCCTTTCTCTCTAAAATCAATAAAGAAAAAAAATTAACAAAACAAAAACTGTCTCTAAGCCCAGGGTGAGCTGTCCATCAAGGCAAACTCGCATGCTGCCAGCCTCCCTGCGGTTTCACTCACCGGCTCTAAACAGTCGCCCGTGGCCCTGTTGCAGCAGATCTTCCTTAGAAGGGTGTGTGCCCCGGAGATACGGTGCCTGCACCCCTGTCTTCCCCGTGCACCGGGCTGCCACGTGACTCACGCACAGCACCACCTCTGCCCACGATGTGCTCTCACTCTAACACTCACGATGCTTGGCCGTTAGACTAGACAGGGCACAGAACCTTTTTTTTGTCTGTTTGGCAATTAACCATTCACTGGCTTTTTTTGTTGTAACATGCACTTCCTTTCTCTTGTTTTCATTCAAGCTGTGTACGCCATGGAAATTAATGTGGAGACAGACAAACACACAGGAGAGACCAAGATTCTCTCTGCATCCACCATTGGCCCAGAGGGGGTCCATCAGAGAGGAGTCAAGGTCTGTGACGATGGTACCAAAGTAGTGTATGAGGTGCGCTCGGGAGGCACGGTAGTAGAAAACGGAGTGCACAGACTGAGCTCCAAGGATGTAGAAGAGCTTATTCAGAAGGCCGGACAATCAAGCGTAAGAGGAGGGCCCGTGTCAGACAGGACTGTGATCGCAGATGGGAGCCTCAGCCACCCTAAGGAACACGTGCTCTGCAAAGAGGCCAAGTTAGAAATGGTTCATAAGTCTAGGAAGGATCACTCCTCCGGGAACCCAGGGCAGCAGGCCCAGGCCCCCAGCACTGAAGGGCCGCAGGCAAACTTGGATCAGCCCGTCACCATGATTTTCATGGGCTACCAAAATATCGAGGATGAAGAGGAGACTAAAAAGGTGCTAGGCTACGATGAAACCATCAAGGCTGAATTGGTCCTCATTGACGAAGACGATGAGAAGTCGTTGAGGGAGAAGACGGTGACGGACGTGTCCACTATTGATGGGAACGCAGCCGAGCTTGTGTCTGGGAGGCCGATCTCAGACACCACAGAGCCCTCGTCCCCAGAAGGGAAGGAAGAGAGCCTGGCCACAGAGCCAGCCCCAGGTACCCAAAAGAAAAAGCGCTGTCAATGCTGTGTTGTCATGTGACCACTTCTTTCTCCCCTTTTCCGGGCAGCCTCTGGGCTCTCCGCCACTTACGCAGACCTCACTGTACCACTAACTGCAATACTGTGAACTGGAAGCCAGCACCTGCCTGCCTTGCAGTTGGATTGCTTTGATCTCTCTTATTTTTTCCCCTTTCATTTTTCTCCAGTTCCCTCACCTCAGAGACCACGTGCATGTGTGTGCTTCATTCTTTCCAAGAACCTGCTTTTCCTCTAAACCTTTCCTTGTGTCTTCAAGAGGGAATCAATTCCTTACTGCTCGATTGGAATGGACTCTTCACATCAGCGAGCTATTTAGCAGCCTTAATCCACTTGACTGGAATCAAACCCAGCGGCCCCGGGGTTTCATTGTGTAGCGTGTTCCCACCCTGGGCTCACACATCGCCACGTCGCTGGCGTCCCCCTGGCCTCCCTCGCTGTGGTTCTTTGCTTTTATATCTTGTGTGGCAAAATGCCGTTGGCTCCAGCCGGTTGCTAGTGTAGCCAAAAGTGGACCTTACTTAGTCTGTCCGATCTAGGGTGATGCTTTTTGCTGCCTTACATAAGCTTCCAGGTTACAGTATTGTGCATCTATGGCTTTCCTTCTGTTAACCCTGAAATGAAGCTGATGTAAAAGAACCCAGTGCTTGTCACTGCTGAAACGTAGGGACTGATCTCCCTGACCTGCCCGTCAGCAGCTGGCCCTCATTCATGGCTGAACTGATGGACCCTTTATATGAGAAGCACCACTTTTTTAGTTTTCTAAGGACGTGAAACAAACATTGTTTTCAGCATCCAGTAGTGACTCCAAACTTAGGCAAATTCACGAGCCTTGCTTCTATTGTCTCAAAGCAATGTACATTTTTCTATTGTTTTCATTTTCACGGATGTTTTCTGATCACGTTCATCTATTTTCAACGAAGGGATCATTTTTGAGGCGTATCTCTGCAGTGACCATATTTCTAGAACAGTCTTTCTGACCTACAGTGGCGGCTGTGACCACACTTCCACGTCCGTGCGGATGGTGCTGTAACTGAATCACCCGTTCATCCCTGCCCGGTTGATTACACAGCCTCACGTCTGCACTCCTTTCTTTCTGTCCCCACGAGAAAGGGAATGTTTCCCGTAATATCAGCATGTAGGTTTACCCACCCCTCAAGATAAAATTTTAAATGTAAACAAACAAAACGAAACAACACAAAACAATGAAAAGATTAAGAAAGACCTGTCTTCTCAAGGTTAAATGCTTAAATGTGTTCCACAAACACTGGTTGACTGAGTGGCACGTAGCTGAGCTTCTTAGATCACATTTCTTAAACTTCTGGAGATTTCAGAACATCAAAGAGTAGATTTTATCTAGAACACAATGAACAATTCTTTAAATCAATCCTTAGCACTCCCCAAAGCAAACAGCCACAAGTAGAGTAAAACCAAAGGGACCATTTAATAAAGTAATCATCTGGTAATAAAATTAAGATGTCACATTTGAACTGATTTTAGTGACAAAGATGTCTTAACTTGAAGTTTTTTGCCCAAATGTTAATAGCATTGTTGCAAATCATTCCCCAAATTATCTGTATTCCATAGAACATAGTTTCAAAAAACCTGCATTAAGTCTAATTTCTGTGAAAAGTAGATGAGAAAAAAATAAGGTAGTCTTAAGAGAGTCTGACTACAGAACTAACTAAATTTGCCCGAAATAGCTTTCTCAGTGCTAAATCTATTAGCATTTTTTTTTTATTTCTTGGTTTGAAATTATATGCATTCTAATTGAAAAAAAAAATATGTTTTATTGTTCAAGGTTAATTTTTCTCTAATAATGACACTTTAATGAGCACAAAGTGAGTCATGTTATCACCAATCTGTAAACAAAACAAGGTAAAGAAGGGGAAAATAAAGGAGCTAATTCTGCTTTCTAAAATGATTTCATCCGTGCCTGGTGTTGAAGAGCTGAGGGAATTACCTCCAAATCTCAGGTTCACCAAAGCAGCTACAGTTGGATAAAGCTGTTCTGTCCTCTAGAAGTAACACCTGGTTTTACTGCCTATAAATCTCACCATTCCCCAGCTTCATGCTCCTCAGTAAATGGTCACTTAAGCATTATTTAAATGTTAAAGAACATGACAGGCCAGATCCACCTATTTACATAGAAAAAGAAAATCATTTCAATGTTTGGGACAGTCTATTATTTAAATAATTTATTTAAGAAAGAAAACAAAATTTACCATAGCTTATCTTTTTTTTTTTTTTTATTCCCTTGGGCATTAAAACTATTGGACGTGAATTTTTAAAAGTTCATTTAATGAGTGGAATGGTGGAACGTGGAACCCTTGGGCTTGCTGGCTGATGAACAGAACCAGAGTCTTCTAGGACAGATAATTCCCTGAAATGACCTGCCTTTTCTTCCATCAGTGAACTAGTTTCTCATGAAGAAAAGGATGTGCACCTCTCACTGCATGGAAGACCTAAAAGACCAGTGATAATCAATTATTATTAGAGGGATTAGCAAATTCTATGAATTCCAGTGCTCTCTATACTTTTCCTATGACGCTGATCATGTAATGGTTTTTAAAGTAAGATGTGTTGCTTTTACTAAAATGATTTTTGGCCACAGTAAATGCAGGTGTGTTTGAATATGGCACACATATTTGCATACTTTGTATCATTCTCCTATTGTAGTGAGGGATTCAGGCTCAGCCAGTGCTTTTATGGGATGAAACCTATAATCCCACCTATAGCAACAAGTAACTGCCCTTCATGAGGAAAATATCAAGTTGTGAGTAATGAACACTCTTCCTCCCCTGCTGTCTTGGGCATTCTCTGTGTACTGACTTACATAACCAGACTAATTAGAGAATCAGTAACGATGCTGCAAAACCATGGTCTTTTTTGAACTAATGGTTAGTTGGACTTTCCTTGTTAAATTGTATAATTAGCTCCCTTTTAAATGGAAAGGGGAGAAAGGATATTTTATTTGTTTATAAATAGATTTTCAGTGCCATTGAATTAAAGATCCTTTAACAGTTAAAATACATTTAACCTTACATATCCTGAAAAATCTTGGTGACTGGTATATCCTTGACTTTTTTTTTTCTTTTGATGTGTAATAGGACAAACTACAAGGATTTTATTTTTTACCTGTACCTCTTTTAATTCCTAATATAAGCAAAAATTAGTCGGCTTTGACAGTGATTGGACAATGTCCAGTAATGCCACTCAATATTGAAAGTAGAGAGGATGAGGGACTAGAGAATCCCTTCTGGCCAAACCCAAAACATAGTTTCCTTCAAGTCTCCTGAGCAACCTACAGTTATTCAAAAACTTTCAGGAAACAAATTCTAGTGCTTATTGACCATGACTTCTTTCTGAAATGTTAATAGACATGCGTCTGCTTCAAATCCCCACCTATTCCATCTTACTCCTGATGATAAATGTATTTTTCCTACATGCAAGTTGAATATTTTACTTTGGGTAGGGTTAAGTTTTTATAAAAGAGGGGAAACTCTATATCTAGAGATGCAGTATCTATCTCTGAAGCGAAATGTTGAGGCGAAGTGTGAAAACAGCTTATTTCTCTTCACTTCTACAGATTTTCATTTCAAAGAACCACAGAACTCCCTTGGCAATGACCATTTATTTAATTCCAATGAATGAACAGGTAGCAAAAGAGGAGGAGGGGTATAGATGGAGGCAAAAATCGAACCACTGAGCTGGTGGTTCAATGTTTTAAAAAACATTAACCCTGTCTATTTAAAAGACATGAACAGGAGACTTGATGCGGGGTGGTGAACACACAATACAATATACAGGTGATGTATTATAGAATTGCACACCTGAAGCCTATACAATTTTATTAACCAATGTCACCCCAATAAATTCACTTTAAAAATAAATAAATAAATAAAACACAGATGAACATAGACAAAATACGCACAGAAGATGTCTTTTGTTCTTACTTAAATCTAGAAGCTCAGCTGTCTCTGTCACTAGCCCCCACTGTGGAGTTGAACTCACTGAAGGCCCCATTCCTTGTGGGAATATTCTCATCTCCCTCGATGTTACTTTGCTGACAACAAATTCCAAGGCGAGCAGTTTCATGTTGTATTTTTGCAAGATGCACGTGTTATTGAAACCATAGATTCTCAGAGAGCTGAGACATAAGATCAGAAACTTTGTAAATATGCAGTCTTTTAGAAGCTCGATGTGCTAAGCCAGGTGTGAAGAACCCCACTGCTTAGGACAGAACCAGAAGGCCCCCTTGTCCTGCTGGGTAACCACCGGCGGGTGCACGAGTTGTAGGAGTCGTAGCGTACATCACAGAACAGCTCGGAGTCAGGAGCAACGTGGGGTCTTTGAGGCCTGCTGCCAGTTCACCTTCAATATGTAGCCTCTTCTGGTCTTATCAAGAGAGTTGTCCTGCATTTTCTAGTCTTTTCTGAGGAGCACAGTGCACTTGTGTGTCTGTGTTTTTATAGCTTCAGCAAAGTCCATAATAAAATGCCCATTCTAATGAAAACCAAAACACTGATTATTTGAATGTAGAAAGGAATAGAATAAAGATTGCATCCTCAAGGTTTCAAAGGGCAATTTCACTGGGAAATCCTTAGACCAGCCTTGCCCCCCCTCTTAATTTTTATATGACTTAAATAGGTCTCTGCCTCCCTCTCCACTCCAGTCTAACATAAGGCCAGAAGTGTAGCGCAAAAACACACGCACACAAAAACAAACAACAACAAAGAACCTGCTTTCAATGTGAAAATATAACATGTAATTTTAGGGGACCACAGACTTTCTGCATCTAAGATCTGGACAGCCTTAACTTTTATAAAAAACAAAAACAAAGGAACAGTTTTTCAGTGCTCTCTTTTACAAAGCAGGAAAACAAAATGTTTCCTGAAAGCAAAGACTTTTTTATATTTTGTGACTCTTTTCTAAGTTTCTACAGGTTGAGGTGTGAATG